AAACAGTGTAGTCTCAGTACTCCATAGTGTCATTTAGGACTACAGACTGTCTGTCCTTGTGTAATGGTTTAAAAGAGCAATAGTAAAGAAATCTCCTTTATTCAGAAAACAGTGCAACTTCTCAATTACCTCACTGTAATATCTGTTATGAACTCGGTTTAAATCTGGCAAAGTTTCTTTGCACTGACATGTTCTTTATTTTTCTTATACAACTCCCAAGCTGGAAAATTCCCAAGACGAAAGTTTCATTTATGCAAGGTTTCTGTGAACTGTCCTCAGATCACATTAAGTTTCAATGTGTCACATTCACAAAGGACGTCAGCCCTAGCTTCTCTCTTCATGCTGTACTGAAAGCAATAAAAAACCCAGTTCTTAAAATACAGCACAATTCAATATCGTCTAATTCAGACATGCTTTTAAAAAAAATCTGATGTGTTTAATAATCATTTTTTTATGTATGTACAATGTAGGTGATTTTGTAGACTTAAATACATAATGTATATCTACTGTATTTTTTTATTTTATTGCATTTTACAAAAAAAACACAACAATAAAAAATAATAACACACTCCACATTAGCCTCCTGCACATCTTTTAATTTTAGGGAAATAATTTTAACATATCAAGTATAAAGCTCAGAATCACATATCTCCTCTTAGGAACTTTTCTTTTAAAAATGTAATGGATTCAATGGATTCAATTATCATCAGTACTGATTTCAGCAATGGATAAGTTGGGAGATAGCAGTATCCATCTACTACATACAGCAGGTTTGACAAGGTTTTTTGTCAATTATTACATTTCTCGTGAATAATTAAATGAGTAATATTGGTGAAAGTTATTTTATGAATTAAAGTAAGAGTACTGCTTTTAACTGCTTCCTTTTTTCTGCATGTACAATAGCCTCTAAATCATGCTTTGCTGTCTCCAGTAAATGGTTCCTCATTTCTGCTTGTTAATGTACATAATGGATTTGTGCTCTGACAGAGGTATGTTACTATCTGGTGACCATTTGTCACATTGATTTTTTTTTCTTGGATCTTGGAGAGGGCAGACTGAAGGCCTAGCAGAACTGCAGATGTTCACTGACCTCTTTCGCTTTCTAAGGATTACATATCATGGACTGGACACAGCTCCACAAAGGCAGTGTGGTATCTTTATTAGACAGTTTTGGGCAGGAAATATAGATGAATTGAAAGTGAATATCTCCTTTACAATATGCATAAGTGAAAAACAAATACAGAGCTGGTAACACTTTTTTTCATTTTAAAGAAAAAATATTACAACAATATAATTGTTTTGAAGTTTTCAACTGTTAATATGTTCTAAAATAAAGTGCAATAAGTTATGATGGCTTAATATTTTGGATTTCCACACTTTGCATTTTTATTTTTTGCTTCTGTACATTTACGCTGTGTATAATTAGAGTCCATGTGCAAGACGTTCATACTGCACATCTCGTAAAACATTCATCAAGTTCTCTGGAGTCCTCCTATCTTTCTCCAAATCTGGACGATCCCATATGGTCTCAGTTGGATTCATGTCAATATTTTTGAAAGCATAAAATATTATTAAGCCGTAACTTAAGTTGTTATCATCTTGGAAAAGTTCAGAATAAAACCCCAAAACTCAACCCAAATGTTAAAACAGTTCTAAAAAATAGTTAGAGGTAGGTCAAATGTTTGTCCTTTGGCTGCCCTTAAAGGCAGTAAAATTTTATAGTCAATCAAATTGCTTGCTTTAGATCATTCAATCATTCTCTAAGATTTTAAATTAATCTGACAAGAGCTTAACCTGATAGTCTTTGCACCCTTCCAGTATTACAATACAAACTGATATCTCTCTTATCTTGCCTTGTAGACCTCTGCACATGTTGAATATATATTGGAGGAATGTGAAAAGTACATGTGGAGATTCTGAAAGCCAGTTCTTAGTCAATTTTTTAAAAATCCTCATTATGGATAAGCCATAGATCCTTAATAGATACATCTGTATTTTGGTGTATAGGGGATCAATTCTTAATATTTCCATGATACAAGAACTCATAATGCCTGGACAGAAAGGATCACCCATTCCTCTTTCTGTCTCCTTTACCAAATTGACAGAAATGGCCACAAATCTGCACTGTGGTTTTTACACTTTCTGAGCTTCTTTGAAACTGTATACCCTTTACTTAACATTCCAGTTTAATGGGCTCCTGTTGTGCTCAGCAGTACTTGTGCCAGTTTGAGCACTTACCCACAGCTGTAGGTCTTGTCAAAGGTCAGCCCTGTGATAACCTGTAAGGAAGCATGGGATGCTGATCTGCCTTGTGCCTGGAACTTTGAATGGGGCACAGCTTGCTGGAAAATTATTAGCTTTGGAAATGAGGCTAACATCCATTAAGCTGGAAAGACCCTATAATGAAACAACAGCTGTGATCATATTTACGACATTTCTTGTAAAAGCTGTCAATACAATCAGTAGGTACAAACCCTACATGCCCATCAACACACTGAAAGACAGCCCTACAGCTACCAGACACACTGAACTAAAGATGTAATTAACTTCCAGACAAATAAACAAAAGCCCACACTGACCCTGCATAGCATTGACACACAGAGACATATGAAAGGTTACAATCAAGAAGAGGCCATTTGGCACATTTGGCAATCATGTAACATCAAGCCAACACTAAATACTAGTTTCTGGTCCTCAATACATTTGTGAGAATATAATATGCTTAAAACAGGTCTTGATCTTAAAGTGCTACATGAACTTAAATTGCAGGAGTTTGCTAGGCTAATGAATAACTACCAACCCATCCTTAAAAATACATATTAATAGGCTGCAATATTAATATAATAAATAATCTTAATAAAAATACAGTACCATCAGATCAGAAATTCCTCCAAGGCAAAGGAATAGGTCACAGTAACACTACAGGAAAAATTAACTGCAGCTAGGTTATTATCTCATCTATTCTTTCTTATGTGAGGTGCTCAGATACAATCTAGCACATTTTTTAATATTTTAGATTTTAAAATGCTAATGCCATTTAGGGGGGACCCTGGTATTGTTAATCTGTTGTGTGCAAAAACCGGGCTAGTACCGGGGTAGTTTGGGTTGTGAAATACATCTACTGGTATATGTGTCCTATTGAGCTTGCCTTTTCAATTTGAGTAATCCTGCAGAATCAAGCTGCCAGGGCCTTGCATGCTTGAAAAAGAACCCACTGTTGCCTGCCAGTCAGCCAAACTCACCAAAGACAAGAGCAAAGCCCTGCCCACATGTGTTTACGACATAAATCCTGTCACCTCCTCCCTTCTTATCAACAACAAGGGAGGTGTCCCTTGTGATGCCTTCTTTGGCAATTCAGTCATTTGTAGAGGTCAGGTTAGAGTGTACGCATAAACACTTCAGAACCTAGTACCAGCATTTTAAAAAGTAAAAAAAAAATAGTTTTACAGTTTCACGATTACACACAATCTCTTCCGAATTTCTGAAATGGAAATGTCTGGCATAAAATGCTGAAACAAAAAGAAAATAAAATGGAGTGTAAAAAGAAATGAAGGTATAAAATAATACCCATAAAGGTAGGAATGTGAACAAAAACACAAATAAAGAAATTGTTAAATGTTTTCACTATTAAATGTAAGATGCTGTCAAATTGAAACAATGTTAGCATTGAGCAAGACCTCCCTGATAATCACTCTGGATAGACTGCTGAGGAATGTTCTGTCACTCTTCCTGTGAAACTGCACCTGGATGGAGAAGGCAGGCGGCTGTTAATAGCATTTCCAAATATATTCCACTGTTACTTGAACTGATTTAGTAGAGAAAGCCAGACACAGCAAGACTTTGATATTGTTTCCTGAAGTCATGCCATTGAAATCCTAGTGCTACACTATATCGCTTTACGTGCTAGAAAATTGACACTTCCAGACTGTCTTGGATGAACATGAACCTGCTGCCTTTTAGACTGTGTGTTTGTATTACTGAGCAGTATGATTGTTGGCTTGCAACAACCTCCAATGCTTAACATGATATCTTCACACACACATCCTCTAGAAAGGTCTCACAGGTGCAAATCTGTGTTCAAGAAGAGGTTAAAACTTGACTACTCTCTGCTGCTACCTCATGTTCTCTGAATATCCTCCAGGCATGTTGATCAGTTTCATGCTGATGACGGGCAGCAGTCATTCATTTGGTGAACAGGATATTTCTTCTTGAAATAACCTTTTTGCTGTAATCTCTGCCATTTAACATTGTACAGGGATTGCATTAATGTGACAGTCTCACGCTATTGTGTAAACTCTTTGCTTTACAGGACATGGCCTGTCTCTCACAGAGCTGGTGTTCTGGTGGCTCTGGACTACTCTACAGTACACACAGTCAAACCAGGATTTCTAAGCAACATCTTTCATAGACTGGCTGCCTTCAATCATGCCCTCTGTATACAGGTGATGTTCATTGTTTGGATGAGACATGGTCCTTATTTAAGATTAGGAGTGTTATTTTCCAAAGCTATTCATACAAATCAATTAGCTAATTGTGTGTGCAGTTTCTGTCATGTTTATTAGATTACATGATCTGAACAGTTTTCATTACAAAAAGCAATACTCATGAATTAACCAAACTGTTGCAGCCCAAGAAACCAAATCCTCCAATTTAAATATGTGCCTGTGATTAAACTCTTATTGACAGTTGTGATGCAAAGTTTACACAAGCTTTATTAAAAATGTATTAAAAAATTACCTTTTCAGTTGTATGTTTATACAACCTTTAGTTGTATATAAAGGTATGGTATAGCTTCAGGTTTTTTTTACATGTATTTACAGTTATTCAAACAGAAAATGAAAAAGATGTACTCTATAATGAAGGGGAAAATTGACTGACCACATCTTAGGGGTGATATATGCCTTTCACAGCTAATGTGGCCCCTCCTCTCCAGGACAAATCATCTCATCTTAGAGGCTAAACCTCAGTCTCACTTGCTAGACCTGCTAACAGTGGCTGAGAACAGACGTGTCCCCAAACGCTGGAGTGTACATTCCCTTCCTCAAAGTCAACACCTCAGCTGTACTTCTGACCAGCTAGAAAACTTCTTGCGGCACTGAACGTGGAGTGGGATTTTTTTTTTAATAATTATTTTCCGGAAGAATTGTCGTTATTAGTATTCTACTGGAAGTTACACTGTTTGGTTTCAATATATAACAAAACGCTAAAACAGTTTTAATGCTTTTGCTTAATGCGATTCTCTGTATTTGCAAAAAGTAACACGCAAAGCACATAGTATTCTGATGATCTGGAGAGCGCATTATTTTTATTCAATAGAAAACGGGTGGTATCCTCGGACATTGGTGCGGTCTTGATGATTGGATGTCTCTGAACGTTTCGTCTGCACACAGTGGTTTCGGAAAGGGAATACTGGATTGAAATGGACATTTAAGCAATAGGAAAAATGATAAACTTTCATATTGTCTTTCTCCGGCTTCTCGATTTCAAGGTAACTTTTCGTTTTATTTAATCCTGTGCATTTATTTAGTGTTTTAGAAGGGTGTTAATTGCTAGAGTTATTCACATTTTTTT